CGGGCATGCGGCAAACAAGGACACATTGCAGCTGTGTGTCTGGGCCAACGAAAGGTACAACCTCAGGAAGAACTGAGCCTGAAAGGTACCAGGGTCCCCAGCCAGAATAGGGTAGGGTTTTGCGCTTCGCGAAGAAGCATCCTTAGGATAGGCACACACAAGCCCATTAAGAAAAAGCTGTCACTCAAGGTGAAGCTACAAGGGGTTCCATTAACTATGGAGCTAGACACAGGGTCTTCCCTTTCAATCATCTCCTTGCATACATTTAGGAAGACTTGTTCCGGTAGTGGGACTCAGGCCAAGTTAAGGCCTTCTGACATTGTGTTAACAGATTTTCAAAATTCAAGAGTGTGTGTTAAGGGGGAGGCCACCCTTAACGTGCAATACAAGAGTTTTGAAGGTCCACTAGACTTTTTAGTAGTAGGGGGTGAACGAACGAGTCTCATAGGACTCGATTGGTTTGAGGCCCTGGGGATACACGTCACAGGACTCAACAGCTTACAAACACTCGACCTACAGGAAGTCTGCAAAGAATTTGCAGATGTTTTCAGCCCCAGCTGGGCACATTCAAAGGACCACCTGTGTCCTTAAAGCTAGACCCCACTGTCACTCCCATTAGGATTAAAGCAAGAAGGGTCCCTTTTGCTTTAAAAAGTAAGATTGACACTGAACTAGACAAACTAATCCAACAGGGAATCCTAGAACCTGTTGATTCCAGCCCGTGGGAGACCCCCATTGTCACGCCTCTAAAGTCAAATGGGGACATTCGCATTTGTGCTGATTACAAATGCACACTCAATAAGGCATTGCAGCAACATGCCTATCCTGTTCCTGTGGTCAGTCACATCCTGGCCTCCCTCAAGGGGGGGGCGTGTTTTTGCAAAGCTTGACCTATCTCCAGCATATCAACAGCTGCCTGTTGATGATGATGCTGCTATAGCTCAGACTATTGTGACCCACAGAGGGGCCTTCAAGGTAAAAAGGCTACAGTTTGGAGTGAATGTCGCTCCTGGGATTTTCCAAAGCGTAATGGAAAACACACTACGGGGCATACCGGGGGTTTGCCCCTACTTTGATGATGTCTTAATTGCAGGAGACTCCACACAAATTCTAGCTGAAAGGCTAAGGGCTGTTCTGTTAAGATTCAGGAAAACAGGCCTCAAGCTCAAAAGAGACAAATGCAAAATTGGGGTGCCTTCTACTGAATTTCTGGGGTTCAAAATTGATGCTGCTGGGATTCACCCTGCTGAATCCAAACTAACTGATATTTTAGAAGCACCTAGGCCAAAGTCTAAGGCCGAACTTCAGGCCTTCCTGGGCCTCCTGAATTTCTACAATTCCTTCCTTCCACATAAAGCCAGTGTGGCTGAGCCTCTTCACAGGCTCCTAGACAAGCAAGCAGTGTGGCAGTGGTCACAAACGCATGAGGCTTGTTTTAACAAAGTCAAGGCCTTGCTCACTTCTAACAGTGTACTTGCACATTTCAACGAGTCACTTCCTATGTGCATCGCTTGTGATGCATCCCCTTACGGGGTTGGAGCTGTCCTGAGCCACCTCAGGTCTGATGGAACTCAGGTTCCTGTTGCATATTACTCCAGAACATTGTCTTCTGCTGAGCGCAACTACGCTCAGATAGACAGGGAGGCTCTGGCTGTGGTTGCTGGAATTAAAAAATTCCATGATTTTCTATATGGCAGGCATTTCACGGTCTTCACTGACCATAAGCCTCTGCTGGGACTGTTTACCACACGTAAGCAGACTCCCCAAATCATTTCCCCTAGAATGCTTAGGTGGTCTATTTTTTTGTCTGCATATGCTTTTTCTTTACTCCACAAGCCTGGGAAAGAAATGGGCCATGCTGATGGCCTCAGTAGATTGCCTCTGCCAGTAGTAGAAGCTGACCCTGCGCCAGCTGTCAACATTCTATCAATCCAAGCCTTGCCCGAGCTCCCTCTTAGTGCCAGGGATGTTGCCGCTGAAACAGTACAGATCACACACTTTCACGTGTCCGTTCCTGGGTTTTGTCTGGTTGGCCTGAGCACTGCCCTAGTCCTGAGTTTCAGAGTTTCTGGTCCAAAAGGAACGAGCTGTCCCTTTCTCAGGGTTGTCTGCTTTGGGGAAACAGAGTTGTGGTGGCCTGGTTTACATAAAGATATTGAGGCTAAGGTGCATGCATGCCACCTGTGCCAACGATCTCGCCCAGAGATGCCCCAAGCTCCCGTGCATAGATGGGAGGAAACACAGTCCCCATGGTCTAGGGTGCACATTGACTACGCTGGGCCCTTTCAGGGCCAGTTCTTCTTGGTTCTCGTTGACAGCCATTCCAAATGGCTTGAGGTTGTACCTGTCTCATCCACCACCACTGCAAAGACTATTCAGGTACTGAGGGGGATTTTTGCTGCACACGGGCTTCCAGATGTCATTGTGTCTGACAATGGCCCTCAATTCACTTCCTCCGAATTCCAAGCTTTCTTACAGGCTAACATGATTCGTCATGCTATGTCTGCACCCTTCCACCCGTCCACCAATGGTATGGCTGAATGTATGGTGCGCATCACAAAGGACACCTTGAAAAGACTCACCTACGGAGACTGGCATCACAGGTTGGCTGACTTTCTCCTTTCTTATCGCACCACACCGTCCACTTCTACAGGGAGAAGCCCAGCTGAACTTCGTTGGGGGCATCAACTTACTACTAAACTTGACCGGTTGCATCCAGACAGATTGCCTTCATCTACCTCACATCTTAGGGCACCTAGACAACTACTTGAGGGTGCCCCGGTCTGGACTCGCAATTACGGGCCTGGTCATACATGGGTCCCCGCTTCTGTCTCCAGGGTCACGGGTCCTCTATCCTACGAGGTAGCCCTAGACAATGGTCGTCTTGCGCAGGCACATCGACCAACTCCGCCCTAGGTGGCATCTTCCAGCTGAGACTCCTGGGTCTTTTCCAGGGGGGGAGGGGGACCCTTTGGAGCAAAGGGAAGGGCACGAGTTGCTGCCCATCTCCACTGATGGAGCCACTGACGGCACATTTCAAGCTTCCGCAAGTGCTCCGAAAAGGAATTCATGGAGCTTACCCACACAACAGGCACTCACGCCTACTCCAGCCAGGGAGTCACCCCGGGGGCATACTCACTGTCCACACACATCACACAGCACTCCAGTCACGGAGGATACCCGGGAGCATCCCAATAAATCATTCCCCGCAAGAGAGCTGGCACACAATCCCCAGAGTTGGCCTGACCTTACCCCAAATCCTACAGGGGGTCAAACATACAGGGAGGTGGTCGAGGAACCAAGTCCCAACTACAACACCTCTAGCCCAAATCAGGAAGTAACTGAATTTTGGGAAGGTACAGAATCCCACACAAGCCCGGATACAGAACGGGACTTAAGGGATGGACAACCCTCTGAAAGGTCTTGGTTGGACTTAGGAGGGTCTGCAGAAACGCCTAGCAGTGGCTATCACTTCAAGGGGCCCGAGGGCCTACAGCTAGGCGGGTCAACCAGGTCACAAAGTGACAGGAGCCCTGGCCTGACGAGCCCGGTGGGCAAGCAAGCAGGCCAGGCATTGGGGCAAAGTCCTTGGAAGGCACCAAGGCTTGATAAGGGGAACAGGCTCTTGTCACCCCTCAGTCAGGGAACACCTTTCAGAAACCCAGAACTGAGAAGGTCACAGAGAGCAAGGAAATCTCCTAAATACTTAGAAGATTACATAACATTGTTGGCTAAACAAAAGCCAGGTAACGATAGGAGCACTGGGAAGCAGAACGCTGCATAAAATAAATGATTATATGTTGGTAGTAGTTTTAGCCCGGGGGAAAGGGGTGTTATGTCCCGAGCCTTGCAAACGGCTCGGGGCATTTGCAGGCGGTCCCGGGCCGGTGCAAAGCTGCCCGGGACCAGACAGGCTGTCGCCAGCGCCGTGCGCATGCGCGGGTGCTGGCGCGGGAAAAGTATCGCATTGACCCGGGAAATGCCTATATAAGAAGCTGGGAGGTTTTGGGAGCTGCTCAGCCATCTACTTGTAAGCTGAACGCAGAATAAAGAAAACTGAGAACTACAACTGCTTCTCGTGTCTTGCATTCCCGCGAAGGACTCAACACAAAACATTTTGTTTGCTCTAGGTTTTCTGTCATAAAGCCAGTTAGGCCTTCCCAGCAAAGATTTTAGTTCCTTGAGAAATTAAATTATTTTGAGATCCATTAAGAGAAACTGTAAAATTTTCTGGGTTGGTGTATGTATTCACCTCCATAACGTTTTAACTGTTTAAACGTTCAATGAATATGATAATAAACCCATTTCATTTTGTTTTCATTTTCAGCAAAGGTTTGTAATGTTTAAACAATTCTTCTGGTCACAAAACCAATAATATATTATTTGATGAAAATTCTCAGCTTCCCAGTGCACACTGTACCATCCTGAGACGTGAAATTTTCTTGAGATATTTTCAGAGAATTATTACAGAAATAAAATAAAAACATTACTGGCCTCCAAAATATCTAATTACAGGTTTTTTTACACCCTACCTCACCCCTGCACACACAATGGGATTTCATGTAGCAACATTGCCCCCCAGTGTCAAAAATGAGGAGGGGAAGCATATTCCTAATTCTCCAAGGATTTTTTTTTTTTTTTTTAGTGCAGGTGTTTCCTCCATATGTGAATGGCAGTTTGGATATTTAGGAGGTTCACCATGACACTAATTTCCAGACTTCTGCTGTGATATTAAAGGACAATATTCCATTCCTTGTATTTTTTTTCCCTCAACATAGATGACCTTGTAAACATGGAAGATGAAACAGGAAATTTTAAGCCATTTTGGTCATCCTATATTTTCTTACAGCCAACTCTCTGATACCCAGAATAAAATATTCTGAAGGTCTCTCTAGACAAAGATCAATCCTCATTGACTAATCCAGTCAACTTGAAGAGCTGCTCTGAAGAAAGGAAGGTTCTTGTCTGGATTCAGATTCACTTCCTCTCACTGTGTCTCTCGCACAGTAATAGACTGCCGGGTCTTCAGCTTTGAGGCTGTCCATTTGCAGATACAGCTGGCTTTTGGCATTGTCCCTGGAGATGGTGAAGCGTCCCTTCACTTTGTCGGAGTAGAACTTTCCACTGGAATCATGATAGATGCATGCAACCCATTCCAGTCCTTTCCCTGGAGCCTGTCTCACCCAGTCCATGCTGTAGCCAACAAAGTTGTATCCAGAACCTTGGCAGGAGAGACGGAGGGACCCTCCAGGTCTTCTCACATCCCCTCCAGATTCCACCAACTGTCCCTGAGACTGCACTCCTAAGAAGAAAAAGTTATTTTATTTCATTTTTTTTAATGAGATCACCTGCATAGAGGAGCAGAACATGGAACGATATGGGGGAAATAATTACCTTTGAGGACTAGTAGTATGAAGAGAATGTTTCGCCACATTTTGCTCACTCTAATGAGTGGAGGGACCTGTCAAGAGAGGATTCTGGAAATAGCACAAGGTTTATGTTGGTGGGAGTTGTCTGAAAAGGGAATCTATGGGGCTCCTTTAAAGGGGGAATGGTGTCCTGATTTACATATTTATTGGGATAAAAGAGCTCCTCGGGGCATTGACTAATACATTTGTGTGAGCATCACTTCTATGTGCATTTTGTAATTCACATTCCAGTCCTAAGAAAATGGTTCATTTCCAGCAAAGATTTAAAATATGCAGACATTTTTTTCTGGTGCCAATCATCAATGATACATTATTTTATTAACATTCTCAGCTTTTTGTTGAGTGTAAGGAGAAATTTCCTGACAGCGAGAACAATTAATCAATTGAAAAACTTGCCTCCAGAGTTTGTGGATGTTCCAGCGCTGGAGGTTTTTAAGAAGTGATTGGACAACCTTTGTGTGAAATGGGATATGGTCTCCTCCTTGAATGGGGGGTTGGAATAGAAGATTTACAAGGTCCCTTCCAACTCTGTTATCCTCCTCATCCTCCCCACTCCCCCCCATTTTTAAGAAGAGACTGTACAACCATTTGTCTGGAATGGTATAAGGCAGTGGTGGTGAACCTATGGCACGGGTGCCAGAGGCAGCACTTAGAGCCCTCTCTGTGGGCCCGTGCGCTGTCGTCCCTGTCCTAGGCCTTCAGTTGGGTTTTATAAAACCTTTTCTCTTTAGGCCTCCGCTACTGTGTGAAAAAAAAAAAGGTTCAATCAATCAGTCAATTTCAGCTTCTCATTGGAAAAAATATCTTACAAAGTTAGAATTGATTGATTGAACTTTTTAGTCCCACCCAGTCTGCCATTACTACCACAGCCACACTCACCCAATGGGCCACGCCCAGCCAATGGGCCCCACCCAGCCAATGGGCCACACCCACCCAGCACCCAAAGATGCATAAGTGGGTTTTGGGTTACAGTTTGGGCACTCAATTTCTAAAAGGTTCGCCATCACTGGTATAAGGTCTTGCTCACTCTAATGAGTGGAGGGAATTGTCAAGAGAGGATTCTGGAAATAGCACAAGGTTTATGTTGGTGGGAGTTGTCTGAAAAGGGAATCTATGGGGCTCCTTTAAAGGGGAAATGATGTCTTGATTTACATATTTGTTGGGATAAAAGAGCCCTCAGTGCTTTGACAAACACACTTCTTGGAACATCACTTGCATGTGCATTTTGTAATTAACATTGCAGTGCTAATGTGAGTTAATAGGCGAAAGGGCAAATTTATTATGTATTAAATAAAAGAAAAGCCTGAAAAATACACCAAATGAACCTTCTTATTTGAAAAAGAATGATAAATAATTATCTTTGTATTATCCAAAATATATGTATTTTGTTTGCTTTAGCTTATCTGTCATAAAACCAGATAGGACTTTCCAGTAAGGATTTTGTTCTCTTGAGAAATTAAATTCTTTTCAGATCCATTGAGAGAAACTTTAAAATCTCCTGGACTGATGTATTTATTAGTATCTGTAGTGTTTTAACTGTTTTATATGTTCACTGAATATGATAATGTGATCCTTTCACTTTGTTTCCATTTCCAGGCAAAGATTTTAAATAGCTAGATAAGTTTTTTCTGGTGACTTAAACACAAAATCTTTTAATAAAATTTCTCAGTTTCACGTTGCGTTATCCTACAATTTTCTTGAGAATGTTTTAAGGAATTATTACAGAAATAAAATATACATATACATACATACATACATACACACATATGTATGATTAATAATGTCTGTAAAGATGTGACTCCTGGGTATATTCATAATAAAAATATAAATAACTTACGACCACCAGGAGGATCCAAGTAAGAAAATACTTTAATAAAACCAAGCTTTTGTTGGGCACTCCCAACATCGTCAGGGTTAAAAGCCGATTAGAAAAAACGCCTTAAATAAGGTTAGCTAATGCTTGTGCCCAGCTCCTAGAGCGTGTCATCGGTCCTAGCCAACTAATCTGTGTTCTGGTCGTTTCTGTGGCCTTTGCACTCCGCTCTCTTCTATCACTCTTTCGAATATTCCTACTTGTCCTCTCAATATTAGTTCTTAGATTCGTTAGAATCATTTCACCCTCTTCCTCTTCATTGATATTTTCTCCCATGCTATCTTTCCCTCTGCTGTGGGTTATGGGGGGGGGGTCATTTGATTTTATACTACCATGTGTTGCATTAGGATTCCAAACCTCTTTTCCCACCAACAATTGTGAGTCGATGGTCTCTCTTTGCTCCCCCTCCCCCATCCTCTTCCCCTTTCTTATATGGGCAGTATTAGTCCGGGTATCCTGCAGCTCAGCACCTCCGCTTTGTCCCCCACCTTCACACACTCTGTGTCAACTGCCCCTTGCTGTCCTGTCCATTGCTGGTGGTTGTCACCCCTATTTGGGGCAAATCCCTTGTATACCATCAGGGAAGCTGCCAGTTGTGGGTGTGAATGTATCCCATCTGTGATCTTCCGTTTGCTGACAGGGCGAGGGGGGGAGACATCTCCTTCTCTCTTGCAGCCCAAGCGAGTCGTAATTCTGCATCCTCTTCCTCTCCATACGGATCACTCATCTTGATTGGTATGGGCACCAGGCTCAAAAATCCCATTGCCAGCTCTCCTGGATCTCCTGCCAACACAGTCGGCCTCGCTCTTACACTCGGAGGGCGAGGATCTATTAAGATGTTGTCGGAAAGCACATGAATCTCCCACCCAGTGAGCTCTCCCTCCTCTGCCTTCCGAGGAGCACTCAGCTCTTAACGGATGCCTGTCCATCTTCGGCATCAATGGGCTCCTCAGCTGTGTGTCCGAGTGAGTCTGCTGTTGGCTGGATGCCAAGGGGATGTCCGTGGGCTGTTGAGGATCAATCAAAGTTTCATGTGTCCGTCCATACCGGGGGTTAAATACATTATTATTTCCTCGGTCTTGTAAGCCTTGGCTGGGTTGTTTGCAGCAAGTGGGGTGACGTTTCATACTCCATTTCCTCAGCGCCTGCTGTGTTGGGCAGAGATCTACGTGGCGATCGATTGAGTCCTTATCTGAAAACCAGGCTTCCTTTAATAGCCGGCCCCCTTTCATAGCATCACTGGATATAAACCGTGTGTTGTCAAAATCAAAATGGTGACCATGTTCCGCCATATGCGTCCACACTTGCAAATGTTGCTCGCCCCTTCTTACAGCCAGTCTGTGCTCATGTAAATGGGTTTTTAGCCATTTGGATATCTCGCCCACATAGTTACTTTGACAGTTTTTACAGTCAATTTTGTAAACCACCGCAGATTTTTCCATAGCGGGGAGTGGGTCCTTGGGGTGCATAATTTCGAACATAGTGTTTGATTGGGCTTATGGGTCACTTCTATATTATAGGGGGCCAACAGTCTGGCTGCTGCTTCAGAGACGTTATTAATATATGGCAAAGAGATACGTGTCTTCTGTGGTAGTGACCCATCCCTCTGCTGATTGCTTCGGGTTTGGGTATTGTGCCATGCCACTTTATAATTCTTAAAGGATACCCGTTCTGTTGACAAGCACAGAGGAGATGTTTCCTTTCCTTCGTTTTGGACTCAACTGTGCTGCAGTGGGAGTCAACGTGCTTAAATAACGTTCTAATGCAGCTGACCTTATGAGACACCGGGTGATTACTCCTGCAGTGGAGAATCCTGTCCGTATGGGTGGGTTTATGGTAAACACTTACTGCAGGCCACTTTAGCTGACTGTGTTCATATATATATATATATATATATATATATATATATATATATATATATATATATATATATATATGTTTTCTGAGGTTTTTGCGGGTATTTGTATGTAGGTCTTTGGTTGTTCGGGTTTTCTCCCACGTAAAATTGGAAGTGTCTTGGCGACGTTTCGACGAAGTCCCATTCGTCATCTTCAGGCTGGTGCTTTCAGCTTCGTGCCTCGAGCAGCAGTGTGTGGTCTTGGCTGTTTCTTCCTTTTAACTGCCAGTGGAGGTATGAACTGATTGGGTGGGAGCTTGGCTGTGTTCTGATTGGGTGGAGGTGTGTTCTGATTGGTTAGGGGCTTGGCTGTGCTCTGATTGGCTGGGGGGCTGGCTGTGCTCTGATTGGCTGGGGGGTTGGCTGTGCTCTGATTGGCTGGGGGAGTGTTCTGTTTGGTTGTGCTCAGGTTAGTCTGAGTTGCAGAGGGATTCAAGATTTTGGGCTGCCCTGCCATTCCTTGGCTTCGCGTTCGTGGTCGTGCTTCCTCTTCATGGAGGGTGTCAGTTTGCTTCATGTATGGATTGGGGGGGTTTAAAGTGGCTAATGATGCAGCTGTGGTCTGGCTTCTGGTTTGTGGTCGTGCCTCATAGTCAGTGTGGCTTTGGGTTTGTTTTTTGCGTGGATGTTTGGTGGTGACATCCTGTGTGGTTTTTGTGAGTGTGGGTCTGGTATCATTTTTTGTGTTAGGGAGTCGTTTGTCAATAAGGGCGGGTTTCCAAATGGCTGGTAGGCGGGAGGTATCATCTCGCTTGTTCATGCTGTGTGGGCGTTTTTCTATCTCGATGGCTTCTCTGATTATTCTGTTATTAAAATGTTCACTTTTGGCAATGGTTCTGGTATTTTTAAAGTCAATTTCATGTCCTGTGGCTTTAAGGTGTTGGACCAGGGAAGATGTTGGTTCCTCTTTTTTGACTGAGTTCTTATGTTCTTCAATGCGTGCACTTATTCTTCTGTTGGTTTGTCCGATGTATGTGGTGGGACAAGTGGTGCATGGGATTTCGTATACTCCTTGATTTTCTAATTCAATTTTATCTTTGGGGTTTCTAAGGATGGTGGATATTTTTCTGTTTGTGCAGAAAACAGAAAACCCCCCCAGCCAATCAGAGCACAGCCAACCCCCAGCCAATCAGAGCACACAGCCAAGCTCCCACCCAATCAGTTCATACCTCCACTGGCAGTTAAAAGGAAGAAACAGCCAAGACCACACACAGCTGCTCGAGGCACGAAGCTGAAAGCACCAGCCTGAAGATGACGAATGGGACTTCGTCGAAACGTCGCCAAGACACTTCCAATTTTACGTGGGAGAAAACCCGAACAACCAAAGACCTACATATATATATATATATATATATATATATATATATATATATATATATATATATATATACACACATTGCTTACTGGTGTACACCGCTTAGAGAGTGCTTGCACTTAAAGCGGTATATAAGTCTCATAAATAAATAAATAAATAAATATCTAAAGACATTTGTTTTATTCCCCCACGACATGTATCCACAATGGGATTTTATGATACAATATTGCCCACTAGTGTCAAAAATGAGGAGGGGAAGCATATTCCTAATTCTCCAAGGATTTTTTTTTTTTTTTGATGAAGTTATTTTCTCAGTATAAGAATGACAGTTTGGATATTTAGAAGGTTTACCCTGAAGTTTGATTTCCAGGCTTCTGCCATGATAATAAAGGACAATATTCCATTTCATGGTTGTTGTTTTTTTTCAGAACATTAATCACCTTTTAAACAGGAAAGGTGAAACTGGAATTTTCAAGCTATTTTCATCAATTTGTATTTTCTTACACCAAACTCTCTAATACCCAGAAGAAAACATCCTGAAGTTCTCTCTAGACAAAGATCAATCCTCAATGACTAATCCAGTCAAGTTGAAGAGCTGCTCTGAAGAAAGGAAGGTTTTTGTCTGGCTTCAGATTCACTTCTCTCAGTGTGTGTCTCGTACAGTAATAGACTGCTGTGTCTTCAGCTTTGAGGCTGTTCATTTGCAGATACATCTGGCTTTTGACATTGTCCCTGGAGATGGTGAAGCGCCCCTTCACTTTGTCGGAGTAGAACTTTCCACTGGAATCATCATAGATGCCTGCAACCCATTCCAGTCCTTTCCCTGGAGCCTGTCTCACCCAGTTCATGTGGTAGCTTCCGAAGTTGTATCCAGACCCTTGACAGGAGAGACGGAGGGACCCTCCAGGTCTGCTCACATCCCCTCCAGACTCCACCAACTGTCCTTGAGACTGCACTCCTAAAAAGAAAGGGTTTTATTTTTGTTTCATTTTTTTAAATGAGATCACCTGCATAGAGGAGCAGAACATGGAACTATATGGGGGAAATAATCACCTTTGAGGACTAGTAGAATGAAGAGAATGTTTTGCCACATTTTGCTCACTCTAATGAGTGGATGGAATTGTCAAGAGAGGATTCTGGAAATAGCACAAGATTTATGTTGATAGGAGTTGTCCAAAAAAGATAACCATGGGGCTACTTTAAAGGGGAAATGGTGTCTTGATTTACATATCTGTTGGGATAAAAGAGTCCCTCAGTGCTTTGACAAACACACTTCTTTTGAACATCACTTGCATGTGCATTTTGTAATTAACATTGCAGTGCTAAGAAAAAAGATTGGGACCCATTTATTTTTCTGTGAGTTAATAGGCGAAAGGGCAAATTTACTGTGCATTAAATAAAAGAAAAGCCTGAAAAATACACCAAATGAACTCTCTTATTTGTTTATTTTATGGAAAATCCCAAATATATTAAATGGCAGGTGAACTGTAAAGAATACTGTTTCAGCTAGACTAGTTAGCTCAAGTCACAAAGTCAAACTTTAATCATATAGTGACCATATAAACCCTCTTATTTGAAAAAGAATGATAAATAATTATCTTTGTATTATCCAAAATATATGTATTTTCTTTGCTTTTGCTTATCTGTCATAAAACCAGATCCCCTCCAGTAAGGATTTTGGTGTCTTGAGAAATTAAATTCTTTTTAGATCCATTGAGAGAAACTTTAAAATCTTCTAGATTGGTGTATGTATTCATATCTGTAATGTTTTAACTGTTTTATAAGTTCACTGAATTTGATAATGTGATCTTTTCACTTTGTTTCCATTTCTGGGCAAAGGTTTGAAATCTTTTTATGAAATTTTTCAGTTTTACATTGAATGATCCTACAATTTTCTTGAGGATGCTTCAATGAATTATTAAGGAAATAAGAATAATAAATAATATCTGGCCTCCAAAACTGTTTAACATGTTAACTGAATATGATAATATAATCCCTTCATTTTGTTTTTATTTCCAACAAGATTTGTGGTAGCTGCTGAAGGTGAAAACAGAGGTTTGGCAGGAAAGATGGAGGGATTCTCCAGGTCTTCTCACAACCCCTCCAGTCTCCACCAGCCTTACTTGAGATTGGACACCTAAGAAGAAAATGATATTTTTTTAAAAAAAAATGAAATCTCCTTCATACAAGAGCAGAATGTGGAAATAAACTCTATATAATGGAAATAATTACCTTTGAGGATCACTAGTAAGGACACAAGATTTAGCCACATTTTTGCTCTCTCTGATAAAATGGAGGGAATTGACAGGGCAGGATTCAGGAAATAGCACACGTTTTATGTTGGAAGGTGTTGTCTGAAAAGGGAAACCATGGGGAAGGGGAAATTGTGTCTCAATTTACATATATGTTGGGATAAAAGAGTGCCTCCAAACATTGACTAACTTGTTTCTGTGAACACAAGTTGCATGTATATTTTTCAATTAACTTTCCAATCCTCAGAAAAGGGTTTGGACCCATTTGTTTCTCTATTAGTCAGTGGTGGGATTCAAACATGTGAACAACTGGTTCTCTGTGTGGATGCCGCTTCCAGAAGTCCATTCTGGGCCTGGGCAACAAAAAATAGCTACCGGTTCTGCCGAAGGGGTGCGAACCAGCTGAATCCCACCACTTCTATATTTGTTGTACATTGACTAAAAGAAAAACCTGAAATATTTCAGCCCTTCTCAAAATGATTCAAGGTATTAGAAAATAAACTTACTTATTACACACCATATAGAAAGCTAGAACATCAGAGTTAGAATGTTTGCTACAAAATTGCTTCCTTAACCTTTGTTTATTTTATGGAACATCCCAGATACATTAAATGGCAGTTAAGCTTCAAGGAACACATTGAATGCTAGACTAGTTGTGTCCACTCAACTCAGAAACTTAATTCATAATGTGGCTAAAGACAGTCTCTCAACTGAAATAGAATAAAAAATAATTCTCTTTGTATTATCCAAAATATTTTGGTTGCTTGGGTTATCTGGTGTAAACCCAGCAGGCCTTTCCCAGTAAGGATTATACTCTCTCAGGAAGTTGTTATTTTGAGTTCCATTGAGGAAAACTTTGAAATCTTCTCGTTTGGTGTATATATTAGTATCTATAATGTTTTAACTGTTTCATATGTTCACTGAGTGTGATAATATAATCCTTTCATGTGGTTTCCATTTCCAGAAAAGATTTGAAATACCTAGATCAGGGGTAGGCAACCTCGGCTCTTTTATGACTCACGGACTTCAACTCCCAGAATTCCTGAGTCAGCTGACTCAGGAATTCTGGGAGTTGAAGTCCGTGAGTCATAAAAGAGCCGAGGTTGCCTACTCTTGACCTAGATCAAGGCTTTTCAACCTTTTCACCCATTGTACCACTTTTAAGATATGGCAATATCCGAGTACCACCAGTCGCCTAGCAAGGTGTCAAAAACTTGATGACCCCCCCAAAAAAGGAAAAAAGTGATAAAGTACAGGTAGTCCTCGACTTACAACAGTTCACTTAATGACTGTTTGAAGTTCCAATGGCACTGAAAAAGTGCCCCCCAAGCCACAGACGAGCAAGACACCTGTCTGCCCACCCAGCAGTGCTCTTCCTCCTGTCTGAGGTTTTCATTGTTGTGAGCATTTCTGTTGGGGATTGGCAGTGGAGGTGGGGTGGGGGGTGTTTAGTTTTTATTCCACCCATCTGCTGGGTGGTTGCAGCAGGTTTTGGTCACTTCACATAACCCTGGGACACTGTGACCATCATAAATATGAATCAGTTGCCAAGCATCTGAATGTAAATCACAAGACTCTGGAGATGCTGCAACATTCAAGCTGATTGGTGCTTCTTCTGGGCTCAGCAGAAGTGCCAGGATCAGCGCCGAGCTCCAGCTGGAGCCTGGCACTGATCCTAGCACTTCCGTTGAGCCCTGACAGCCCTGCAGCTCCAGACATCTCTCGCTCAGTCTTGTGCGGTGCTGTCACTGGTTCAGCTCATTCCCCTCCCCCGCCAATACTTTTCTAGGATGGTCGCATACCACCTGCCAGGTGCCAATGTACCACAAGTGGTACCCGTACCACTGGTTGAAAAGCCCTGCTCTAAACCACAATGAAATTAAAAACAATTTTGATGACATAAAAGGACATAACTTTACATTAACCTCACAACATAAGGATTTTCAGAAAATGAAAGAATTTAACACAGATGGAGGAAAACACACAAGACGTGACTGAAGCCTTGGAACTGGAAGAGATAGTCCACACCCTAGAATCACAAAACAAAGCTGAAGATAAGAAGAAAAGCCTGACAAAATGGATTATAGAGATACTAAAAATCTACGACTTAAGAGACAAAAAAAGATAAAAGAAATCAACATCTTACTTGATTTGTCTCTCCCATCCTTAACAACATCCACAAGAAAATGGCAAGACTTTTTAACTAAGTGGAATAGATGGATGAGAAAAGCCATTTGGTGAAAGAAAAAGGCTAAAATCAGATCCAAGGGATTAGAAGATTGGACTTATCAGAAGCAATTTTTAAAGATTAAGCATTTGTTTGAATATGGTTAAAATATAATAAGGTCTGCTCAACCAGCGATGAATGGAATACAGTGAAAATATTTTTTAATGATATGAGAAATGTAACTGTCTTATCAGATGCATTTTTTAAAGATTAAGTATTTGTTTGAATATGTTTAAAATATAACATGGATTACTTAATTAGTAAATATTGAATGGCATAGGGTTAAAAATAAAAAAATGGGGGATATAAATGAATTTTAGTTGGAGAGAAATGTTTTTCTTTCTCTTTCACTTCTTTCTTATTCTTTGTAGTATTGTATTGTGTTGTATTTATTTATTTATTATGATATGAGAAATGTAATTGTTGGGAGAATTATTGTGAGGGGAAACAGCTTAGATATTTAACCGTAAATTAATTTTGAGAAAATCTTGACAGATAAAAATGACTTCAGTTTTGTGGGGAAAAAGTCTAAATGAGAATGTTGAAAACAGGACATATAATGCAACCAAGAGGACTAACTAGAAAAGAGGTTTTGTATTGATGCTATTACTAATTGGATAAATGTTAGAAAAAATGTTTATATTTAACCTCTTTGTTACGAAAAATATTAAGAACTGTATTAACCTAATGTTTGCAAAAGAGAATAATATGGGAAGGAGAGAAAATCAAGGAAAGCTGTTATATAGAGTACGATATGATAGAAATTGACTATTATTGATTGTTGTGAAATGTGAACCCAGACAACATGCTGTTTACTAAGCACCAGGTTGTTAGTTTTTTTAAAAAAATCAAATATATATATATGAAATACCTAGATAACTTTGTCTGGTTTCGAAAACCAAAACTCCATCTTTTAATAAAATTTCCCAGTTTCATATTGAAGTCGCTTGCAATGTAAATTTCTCTTCAAAACTTTTCATTGAATTATTACAATTTCTAGCAGAGGTTTGAAATGCCTAGACAGTTTTCTGCTACGCTAACAAACATCAATTCTACATTATTTTATAAAACTTTGCACCTTCCTCATGAGCATTGTACTCTCCTGACATGGAACATTATCTTGAAATATTTTCAGGAAATTATTAAGGACATAACAAACAAACAAACAAAAAGTTATTGAGAACTTTTCAGTGAATTAATACAAAAATATATATATATATATCAAGCATCCACAATGAGACAATATCTAATTACATTTGTTTTATTTCCTTCCCCACCCCCACCAGGTGCATAGAAAATGGATTTCATGTAGCAACATTGCCCCCTAGTGTCAAAAAATGAGGTGAAGCCTGTTCCTAATTCTCCAAGGAGATTCTTTTGGTCCAGATGTTTCCTCAACAGGTGAATGGCAGTTTGGATGTTGAGAAGGTTTATCCTGAAGTTTCATTTCCAGGCTACTGCCATGAGGCTAAAAGACAATATTCCATTCCATGTTTTGTTTTGTTTTTTCTTGAACATAAATCACCTTGTAAACAGGGAAGATGGAACTGGAATTTTCAAATCATTTTCATTACCTCACATTTTCTTCCAGCAATCTCTCTCATACCTAGAACAAAAAAGTCCCGAGGTTCTCAATCAAAGGTGATCAATCTTAATTGGCTAATCAAGAGTCTGAGCATTGTACTCTCCTGAGATGGCAAATTTTCTTGAGACTCAGAGAATTATGATGGAAATAACAAAAATCAATCCTCATTGAGTAATCCATGGTCTGGGGATCAGTCAAGCTGAAGAGCTGCTCTGACGAAAGGAAGGTTCTTGCCTGGCTTCAGATTCACTTCCTCTCACTGTGTCTCTCGTACAGTAATAGACTGCCGTGTCTTCAGCTTTGAGGCTGTTCATTTGCAGATACAGCTGGCTTTTGGCATTGTCCCTGGAGACGGTGAAGCGACCCTTCACTTTGTCGGAGTAGAACTTTCCACTGGAATCAGTATAGATGAGTGCAACCCATTCCAGGCCTTTTCCTGGAGCCTGTCTCACCCAGCTCATGTGGTAGCTACTGAAGGTGAATCCAGAGGCTTGGCAGGAGAGGCGGAGGGACCCTCCAGGTCTTCTCACATCCCCTCCAGACTCCACCAACTGGACCTGAGACTGGACTCCTAAAAAGAATTTTTTAAAAATGAGATCTCCTGCATAGAAGAGCAGAACATGAAAAGAAACTCGACATAGGGAAAATAATTACCTTTGAGGACTACTAGTAAAGAGACAAGGTTTAACCACATTTTTGCCCTGTAATGAATGGAGGGAAGGAGAGATTTCAGGAAATAGCACAAGGTTTATGTTGGGGGTTGTTCTTTGAAGAAGGAAACCATGGGCTCTTTAAAGGGGAAATTGTGTCTCAATTTACATAACAGTTGGGATAAAAGAGCCCCTCAGGGCATTGACTAATATATTTCAGTGAATGTAACTTTCACGTGCATTTTGCAATTAATATTCCAATCCTAAGAAAAGGCATAGGAACTTTCCCCCCCCCTACAGGTTAGTAGGAGAAAGGGCCAGTTTGTTGTGCATTAAGTAAAAGAAAAGATTGAAAATATTCATCCTTTCTCAAAATGATTCAAGGTAATATAGAATAAAGTTACTCATTATAGATCATATAAAAGGCTTAGAAGATCAGAGTTAGAATCTTTGCTACAAAACTGCTTCCTTAACTTTTATTTATTTTATGGGACATTGCAAATACACTAAATGGCAAATGTCTATGGAGGTTGTCTGTCCTGGTTGTTCCTGGTTGTTCCAAACGTCCTTTTTTTGGGGGGAGGCAACTGGACTTTCTTGTGTTTGGACTGAGAACCTCCACAGGACTGAGAACCTCCATAGACATTTAGCGATGCACTTTGGGATGAACACCCTTCGAATGGTGAGAGAGTATGAATTGGATTTCCAGAAAACATTGCAGGCTACAGGAACCATTTGTGCTTCATTAGGAGATTCAGAAAGCACAGATTCATCCCCAAGAGCCCGTGCCTGTCTTCAACAGTGAAGGGACACAGGGCAGAAAACATCCTGCAGCCAGAAGGCTCCACACACATTTGCACTACTCAAGTGCCCCTGGTTTCAATGCGTCTCTAAAGCAGGAGTCTCTAACTTGTGGGCCGTGGGCCGACAGTGGGCCAAGGCCTGTTGGACAGCGGGCCATGGGAATGGCTGGTGAGTGTACGCATTTGTGCATGCAACCCCCCCACTTGCACTAATGGCCCCATTTGTGCATGTGTAGGAGTGCTAGTGTCACCGCCACCATCACACGGTCACTAGCAGCCCATTTGCAGGTGCTAGCGTCCCACTTACATGGATGTGCAGGCAGCAATGCCGAGGGTGTGCACAGTCTACTTGCACATGTACATGGATGCTGGCACTGCCATCGTGCATGCACTGTTTGCGCATGCCCATGCACACACTCATTTCTCTGCACTTTGCTTTCCCTCCAGGCAGTCCACCCAAAAGGTTGGTTAACTCTGCTCTAGAGGAATACAAATGAACATTTGTCTGCAAGCAATATAAATCCTTCCACTCGGTATCATCTAGTCAGAGCTGAAGAAGCTTCTTGGATGAGAAGCGAAACGTCTTCAAAAGAAACACAAGAAAGTCTAGTTGCCTTCTGAAAAAAGAAAAAAAAAGTATCTTTGGGACATTAAATGGCAGTTAAGCTTCAAGGAACACTTTGAATTCTAGACTAGTTGTATCCAGTCGACTCAGAACTTTAAGTCATATTGTGACCAAATACAATCTCTCAGTTCAAACAGAATGATAAATATCTATGTATTATCCAAAATATTTTGGTTGCTTTAACTTATCTGGTGTAAACCCAGACATGGCTTCCCAGTAAGGATTATTCTGTCTCAGGAAGTTAAGTTCTTTTGAGTTCCATTGAGAGAAACTTTGAAATCATCTGGATTGGTATAACATCTATAATGTTTTAATTGTTTTATATACTCACTGAATATGATAATCTAATCCCTTCATTTTGTTTTTATTTCCAAAAAACATTTGAAATATGTAGAAAATTTCTCTGGTGACAAAACCATCAATTCGCCATTTTATAAAGATTATCAGCTTCTCTGTGAAGATTGTAGCTCACTGAGATGTGGTATGTTCTTGATAGCTTTTCAGTGAATTAATAAACTGATACATTATTTTATTTTATACAGTTTTATTCCATTTATTTTATACAAATTCTCAGCTTCCCTTTGAGTATGGTGCCCTCCTGAAATGGCATTTTTTTCTTGAGACTCAGTGAATTATGATGAAAATAACAACAACAAACAAACAAACAAAAAGTCTGTGGTGTCAAGCACCAATGATACATCAAGGAGCGTTATAGGATCCAGAGAAGTGAAATTTTCTTGAGACCTTTTCAGTAAACTCTTATGGTCATTAAAAAAAAAAAAAAGCAAAACATTTTTTTGGGGCCACATAGAAGAGGGGGGTTAACCTATTTTCCAAAGCAGCTGCAGGCCGAAGAAGAAACAATGAATTTGGGTGGCAAATAATTTTAATAAATAAATAATCCAAATGATTCAATTTGTTCTTTTATCCATTCTAAACTCAGACATGGCTTCCGAGTAAAGATTGTAGTCTCTTGAGAAGTAAAGTTCTGTTGAGATCTTTAAAACTTCAAAATCTTCTGGATTGACATATACATTTGTATACATGTTTTTTTAGCATGTTTTCATGAAAACCAAAAATCATAATCTGTCCCTCTATGATCTCATTTACAACAAACATTTGAAATACACAGAAACTTTCTATGGTAACAAACACTGAGGATAAATCATTTTATAAAAATTCTCAGCTTCTAAGTGAGAGTTATAGGATCCTGAGAAGTGAAATTTTCTTGAAACCCCTTCAGTGAATATTATGGAAATAATAAAAAAAATAATTTTGCTACATAGAAGAGGGGGTGAACCTATTTTCCAAAGCAGCTGAAGGCAGAACAAGAAGCAATGGATTGAAACTAATCAAGGAGAGAAGCAACCTAGAAGTTAGGAGAGAATCCCCGATAGTGAGAACAATTAATCAGTGGAATAATTTGTCTCCAGAAGTTGTTCCAATACTTCAGGTTTTTAAGAAGAGATTGGACAACCATTTTTCTGAAAAGGTATAGGGTCTCCTGCCTGAGCAGGGGTTGGACTAGAAAGCCTCCAAGGTCTTGTCCAATTATATATGTTTTATTTCCTAACACACCACCTCTGGGTGTATACGCAGTTGGATTTGGTTACAACATTGCCCCCAGAATAAAACTGAACTGTTGACATATCTTCTTAATTCTCAATGGAGATTCTTTCAGAGCAGATGTTTCCCCAGTGAATGTCTGACAGTTTGGATATTTAGAACAATTATACTAAAGTTTCATTCTGATCCTTCCACTATGATACTAAAAGACTACATTCCAGAAGCCGAATCAACTGGTCCTTCCTAGTTGGTCTCGGCTGCCAAGGAGATGACATGAGGCTGGCTCCAGGTGTTGATCAATGCTTCATTGAGGGAGGGGTCTTTCCCACAATCCTTGAAGGAGGCGGTTGTGAGGCCCCTTCTCAAGAAGCCTACCCTGGACCTGTCTGACTTAAATAACTTCCGTCCAGTCTCCAATCTCCCCTTTTTGGGGAAGATTGTAGAGAGAGTGGTGGCGCTCCAGCTCCGACGGTCTCTGGATGAAGCAGATTATCTAGACCTTTTTCAATCTGGCTTCAGGCCCGGCTTCAGCACAGAAACCGCTTTGGTCGCGATGATGGATGATCTCTGGCCGGCCCGAGACAGGGGTTATTCCTCTGTCTTGGTGCTACTTGACCTCTCAGCGGCTTTTGATACCATCGATCATGGTATCCTTTTGCGACGACTTAAAGGGGTGGGAGTGGGAGGCACCGTTTTACGGTGGTTCTCCTCCTACCTCTCTGGCCGGTCGCAATCAGTATTGGTGGGAGGGCAGAGGTCAACCCCGAGGCCCCTTGAATGCAGTGTGCCACAGGGGTCAGTCCTCTCCCTCCTCCTATTTAACATTTATATGAAGCCGCTGGATGAGATCATCAGACAGCACGGGGTGAGGTTTCATCAGTATGCTGATGATACCCAGTTATATATCTCCTCCCCAAGCTCTCTCAGTGAAGCGGCCGATGTGATGGGCCGTTACCTCAAAGCCGTGAGGGTATGGATGGGGGTTAACAGACTCAGGCTCAATCCTGACAAGACCGGTGGCTTTGGATGTTGCCTCCCAAGGATCATGTTGACTGTCCAGTGTTGACTCTTGCGGGGGAAAATATACCCCCTTCGGAATGGGTTCGCAACTTGGGTGTCCTCCTTGATCCACAGCTGAATTTGGAACATCATTTGACGGCTGTGGCTGGGAGGACCTTTGCACAAGTTTGTCTGTTGCACCAGTTGCGACCCTACCTGGACCGGGAGGCTCTCCTTACAGTCACTCATGCCCTTGTCACCTCATGTCTGGAGTACTGCAATGCGCCTACATGGGGCTACCCTTGAAAAGTATTCGGAGACTACAGTTGGTCCAGAATGCAGCTGCGCGAGTGATAGTGGGTGCTCCTTGATACACCCACGTTACACCTATTCTCTGTGAGCTGCACTGGTTGCCTTTTGGTCTCCGGGTCCAATTCAAGGTGTTGGTTATTACCTTTAAAGCCCTATATGGCTCAGGGCCAGGCTATTTGCGAGACCGCCTACTACCTCATAGTTCCCTGCGTCCGATTAGATCCCACAGGCTGGGCCTCCTTCAGGTCCCATCGGCCAAGCAGTGCCATTTGGTGGGGCCGCGGAGGAGGGCTTTCTCTTTGATGGCGCCCACGTCTTGGAATCAGCTCCCCCCGGAGATTAGGACCGCTCCCACCCTGTTGGTTTTCCGTAAGCTGCTTAAGACCTGGATTTTCCGGCAGGCCTGGGGTTTATAACATCTGACCCCTGGATGACTGTAATTGTACTGTTTGTTTGTCATGTTTTATGTTGTTTTTATTGTTAGCCGCCCAGAGTCCTACGGGAGTGGGGCGGCTTATAAATTTTAAAAATAAAATAAAATAAATAAAAAGAGAAGTGGACTTGGATTTTTTCTTTATTTTTTTTTTCATTTTGTTACAGAAACCATTTTGATACCTAGAACAAAACACGCTGAAGTTCTCACTAGACAATGACCAAGCCTCTTTGATTAATACAGGACCTGAGTCTTAGGCAACTTCAAGAGCTGCTATGAAGAAAGGGAGTTTTTTGTTTGGCTTCAGATTCACTTCTTCTCACTGTGTCTCTGTCACACAATAATGGACTGCCATGTCTTCAGGTTTGAGGC